TTTGAGAATGAATAATAATATAATAACATATCAGTAAAACGTACACGATTCAATTATTTTTATGTGGTATATTCATCATTTTGAGGGGTTAAAATGTTATTATTTCATAATAAATTTATCGCGATATCCTCCTCTTCTTGTGCTGTGGGTACAACTATAGAGGAAGTAGTTTGGTTTCTCTGTTTTTTTGTCGAGACAAACCTTTGAGGTTCAAATTTCGTACGTTTTATTGGTGGTTCTCCTATGACAGATGCAAACATTGAACTTTGTTTCACAGCATTCTGAACTCGCATTGTTGCTTTAGTTTGTCTAATCATTTTGTGAATCAATCACGTGATTACTTCAATCAAGTGATGTGGAAGTGATAATTTATAAAAACATAAAATAATATACCCAATTCTGCTATATTAACATTTATAAAATTAATGTTAATATTTAATTAATATTAATATATTAATATTTTGTTTATAAATTCAGTTTTCCATCACATATGTTTTGTGGTCATAAGTCTGGTTTCAAATTTAAGTTTGAAATTTCCCGCCATGCGACTCACGGGCAGAGACTCGGTTGTCTTCGCATACAATCGTGGCTCCGCTATTTGCTATCCCGAGACACAAGTCACGCCGCATGTTCTGGCCGTGCAGAAGGGGAAAAGGGGAGGGAGGTGTTTTCGTAAATTTCTCTTTCCGACTCTCCTATTCGTCCGATTTGCATGATTGTCACGGTGTTGGATTCAGGAAGCATGCCGCCATCGCGCTATAAGCTCACATTTTTTAATTTGTTCTTGGAAGTTTGAGAACTAATTTCAAATTCGCGTTTTTGCTAGATTTTTGGGAAAAGGTCATCGTAGCGTAAATTCTATTTTAAAAAGGCGTCAAATGCCGTTTACAGATTGAAAATTGGTTGGACCATTGGTTCAGACGTTATCAGTAAAGTAAATTCCCCTGTGATAGTGCTGCGATCTATTGAATTTTCCTACAAGTATTTTTCGGTGCATTTAGCCTTAACCTTTCAGTAAAAAATTCTGGTCTTATCAGATTTAAATTTAAATATATTTATTAAATTTATTTTATCTTATTCACTACACTTCAAACCCTCTCTAAGTACTTTATGTACTTGTCAGAGAGGGGTGTGTTACATTGTACATTTGTTTTGTTTTGTTTTTCATTCTCGTATTACCGTTGTTGATTACAGTTTACCCTTCATCTGTACTGTTTGTCAGTTACTGTATGATGCATGAATTGTTTCTATTGAAATTTAGATTTGTTTCCAAGGAAACTCAACAAGCAAAAGTAAATCAAAATCATCAAATTAACTGAAATAACAAATAATTTGTAAATAAATAAAAAGAGGATGTCAGTTGGCAACAGGCTAAAATGAAAATTAAGTTATACTTAATTAACATTTTGAAAATTTGTAGTGACAAATCAATAAGCAAAGCGAAATAAAATTATTATCTAAATTAACAAATCAAGAAACAAATAGAACAGCTGCCAAACAGCAGCTGACATGAACTGAGTTAAATTGTCCAATTATAAATAATTAGGAAATAAATAATAGGACACAAAAACAAAACTTAGTCCATACAGTAAACAATTAACAAAAGTGAAGGAGAGTAACAGGAACATTAAACATTTTTAACAAATTATTATCTTGTGATGACTGCTGTTTACAATGTGAAGATTTAGCTGTACATAATTAACAACATAAAATCTTGTAATGACAAAACTTAAGAGGCAAAAAGAAAACAAAACCATCCAATTATTCTCTAAACTAGCAAATGGATTGTAAATAAATGAAACTAGATGGCAATTGGCAACAGGTAAAAATGAGTATTAAGTTATACTTAATTAGCATGTTGAAGACTTGTAGTGACAAATAAAATCAACAAATAATAGGACCCACAAACAAAGCCTAGTCTATACAGTGACTAATTAACAATTGACATAATTACTAGTTGACCAATTACAATCAAAATATTATCTAAAATATAAAACAGAAATCAAATAGAATAACAAAAAAAAAAGAGAATTGCAGGGACATTGTACATTATTTTTAAATTATCATCTTGATATGACAGCAGTTTACAGTATGAAGATTTAGTTGTACATAATTAACAATATAAAATCTTGCAATGACAAAACACGACAAGCAAAAAGAAATCACAATTATCCAATTATTATCTTAACCTGCAAATGGATTGTAAAACAAAAATGAAATAGAATAACCAAATTAAAACCAAATAACTGAATGAGGGTAACAGAAACAAACATTTCTTACAAATTAGAATCTTGATGGTAGTTTACAGTATCAGTGAAGATTTAGTTGTACATAATTAACAAAATAAAATTGAATGTATAGCTTGTAATGACAGTATAGCAGTTAATAACTGGCGAAAATGAGAGTTGTTTTACTTAATTCACATATTAACAACTTGTAATGACATATTAAAAAATGTAAAAGAATCCCCCCTCCCCCAATTATTTTTTTTAAATTAACAAATAAATTATAAATAAAACAAAATGGCAAGAGGTAACAAGCTAAAGAAATAACTCCAGAGCTTTGAGATGTAACTTCTAATATTTCATCTGGCAATGAATTGAGCAGTTTTGGAATGGGCCCTCACCAAATTTATTCCAGTCTCTGGAAGTATGATCTTTTTTTCCCCTACTGTGCCCTCAGATTTTTCTGTATTTTTCATTGAAATTTTTTTTTTGCAGAATTTGGAATTCATACAGTTTTTAACAGTCATGATTCCATGCATTGCTGCACTCCCTTCCAGGTTCGGTTTGTTATGCTCATTTTTTCATTAAGGCCTTTAATACATTTATTTTGTTGGTTCTGTATAATATCTACATGCGATTTTGCTGCAGCCCCCCACACTCCAATTCCATACCTGAGAGACTATTAATGAGAAGTAGACCAATTTTAAAATTTTTTTAAGATACAAAATCTTTAATTCTAATAAATAAATAGAGATATTGTCAGGTATCAATATTTTAATTCCACTAATGATAATTTCGATCGCGTAGCGATCATCCTCAGAGCTTGCAGCTTCTGGGCCGAAAACAAAGTTCTGCTTTAATTCTAATTAGTTTCCAAACACATGTTCTTATTTTCTTGCTTAATTCCAAGATCTGGTCCCTCCAGCTCAGATTTTGATCAAAAGTTACACCTAAATACTTCACTTGGCTTACAGAATTAATTATATTATTACATTGACAGTTCTTAAAGTCTTTGTGAATGCAATCAGCTTTGTGAAAAAATATTTTAACTTGTGCCCTTTAATTTTTGGAGCTGCGATATGCAGTATTCTAGTCTTTTTCTAATTTATTATTAAACCTTTATCATGGCACCATTTTTGGAATATTCCCCATTTTTCCTGTAACTCCATTTCTGCCTTCTTTTGGTCTCTGTTTATAGATAATGGCATCTTGTCATCCGCAAAAATATAATAGGAACCATTTTCTAGATAATTTTTTAAATCATTCACAAATATTAGATAAAGTATAGGGCCTAGGAAACTTCCTTGTGGAATCCCCCTTTTCACAGTGTTTATTTCACTATTAGTGTTATCTATTTTGATTCTAAATGATCTTCCTTCAACAAAGTTTTTAAATGACTGTAAAACGTTGCCTCTAACCGCTATGCTTTCCAGTGCATCTAACATCTTTTCACGGCTTATTACATCATAAGCTTTTGACAAGTTAATGCTCAATGCTATCACATGCAATCCCTTTTGTAATATTTCATTTAATACTTCTCCTAGATTTTCCAATAAGTCTATGATGCTCTTGTTTTTTTGATATGCAAATTGATTGTTATCAATTATTTTATATTTTTCCAGGTAGTTGGTCAGTCTTTGCGATATGTATTTTTCAAATATTTTACTTATTGTATTTAATTTGGAAATTGGCCTGTGGTTTTCATAGAGTGTAAGACTGTCTCCTTTATGTATTAGTCTGATAATGGATACTTTTAATTCATCTGGAAAAGTTCCCTCATTAATGCTTGAGTTGATAATTTTCAAAATAATTGGTGTTATTGAGTTGCTGTTCAGTTTTATATCTCTCATAGCTATTTTGTCAATTCATGGTGCTTTATTACAGTCCATCCCTTTAATTAAAGAACTAGTTTCCTCTAATGTAAAATAATAATAATAAAAATAATAATAATAATAATAACAACAATAAGATTAAGAACAATAATAAGAACAATTGTAACAATAACAACAACAAGAATCATAACAATAATAATTATAACAATACCTATAAAAATAACAAGAATAGTTTTATGAGATTCTCTGATTTCTCTTTGACCCAGTATTTATTAAATAATATTGTTACGATTTTGTTAATTAATCAGTGAACCAGTAACTTTCTTTCACCTTTCAATATCACAGTTTTGATTTCTAGAGCAATCTGGATACATGGAAATGCACCCTACCCAGCCCTTCCCTGCCTCACTCAGTTTGAAAGGATTCTGGCCTGCAACCCTCATATCTGACTGTTAAGTGATGAATGGGAAAAACACAGAAACAGTAAAGTTGCTCGAGCCTTAGAGGGACTTTATTCTCTCCACTTCTTGAATTGATCTTATGAAGTATTAGCCACAGCTTTGTTTTTGCTGGGGGCTGATACATATTTGTCACATTGTGAGTTAGAATCAAGACCTGTAGATACTAGTTTATTCGCTATGCTAAAATGTCAAGTTTTGTTCTATTCTGGTAAATCTATTATAAATATTCAATGTCTGCAGAAAGAGATTAAAGGATGTGTTTCTTGTATATGTATATTTTATATACAAATAATATACAGATCTTAGGTGTACTTTTCAATTTAATTTTAGGTTTCTTAATTATTAAAGAAATTAAATATTCAATTGGAGAATATCAAAAATTTTTCACAAATTGAACAAAGCTGTTTTATTTTTTGAGTCAACTTCAGATTTTCATTGAATTGGATAAAGCCATTTCAGTTTTGTATTTGTATCATGTACAGGATGTCTGGACCACCAAGACCCCAGGTGACAACACCTGAAGCAGTTGGAATCAACAAGTCTGGTCGTTCACAGGATCATTTCTTGGGATTTATGCGCTCTGCAGAAACAAAGAGCTCTCCACCTTCCCTAGCCAGTTCTTCATTATTATCATTGAGTTCTCCAAGTGGTCGTCGAGCAGGTGATAATGTATCTGCAAGTACATCCACTCTAGCTAGACACCGTGGCAGTCTTGATCGTCTTCATTCAGGTGATTTTTTTTTCCCCCCTTTGAAAATGTAGTTTGTATTTTAATACATTTGGCAAAGACTCGTTATAAACATTAAGTAAGAAAATTTGTTGTGTTCAATCATTGTTGGGGTAAAAGTTTGTGAAATGATTATAATTCTTTGTGAAAATACAGTGTATCAGTAATGAATATTTTAAGTAATTACGTACTAAAACTCTTTCAAACCATGTAAGAAAAATATAATACAGGCAATCTGTAAATGATATACTAATATTAATATTAGACAATATAATATCCACATGCCAGTGTCATATCCAATTACTGTACTCACAATTAAGGAGGTTCAAATGGCAAACAACGTTACTCCCATGTAAAACAAGTCAGCAAATTCTATTTCACCAACGAAGCTTAAAAGATGCAATATATAGGGCAATATCATGTGCCGTATATTTACAGATAGTACATCACTCATAGATTAATGTTGGTTTTATAGGTGTTACACAAAAATTTGTGAACACTTTTGACCAGTGGCAGCTCGTGTTGGCCGTAGCATGTTTGCGCTACAACTGAAAAATCTCGCCATTATACAAATATAGAGGAATTATATACAATAGGGACATTTGTGTCATTCATTATTACTCTCGTAAGTCATATTTGCATCACAATTTTCTTGTCTTTAATGCAAATAGGGTACAAACTGCATGTTTACTGTAAGCCTGAGTGTTTACACTGCCTTGCTACGCCTTCGACTTCAACTTTGGAATAGAAGATACACCAATAGAACAAGGAAATGGTTCTTTGCAGGAAGGATTACTCAATGTTGTTGCGTGAATTTCTCAATAGACTCAAATTTCTTGCACTAGACAGCGAGTTAGTAGTTCTAACATCTCCATCATATGTCATTGAAACTTTCCTGCAGACTAGAAACTGTGACGATATTATGTCAAATGAGAATCATATTTCAGTTTTTTTGTAAGTTTCTGCAAACCAAATTTCTACATTATATTTGTAATTTTGTACAAATAAATCAAAATGCTTCACCATGCTCTTGCTTTTGTTGCCCGTGGAAGTTGGCACTACTATATCTGTTGTGGCTGTAGCGCCAGATTCTATTTTCGTTTTTACATACCTGTGCATTACAAAGGCAGAAGCTAGTGTATCAGCTCTTCCCATGCTTTCCATTGAGTATGACTTCCTTACCCAAATAGCAGACTTCAATGAAAGAGTTATCACAAAATTTAATACGAACCAGGAAAGGTGTGCCAACTTCTTTTACAAATAGGTAGTATCCCCATTCTTTATTTAAATATGTTTAAATAATGATAATGTGAAAATAGAAATATCTTGAAGAAAAATGTGAAATTTTTGTATAGTGTATTTCTGAAAAGTACATATAAATGCATAAATTCATTGTATACCGGTCTCAGCATCAGAGTCCCCCTCTCAATGTCATTATTCTGTAAACCAGCATATGAGGGCACGAACCACTGCTTTTGACATAAATCTTTGGGTCTATTGTATGAGGATATGATACTTCAAAAATAAATCATTGAAAGGTTCAGGTGCTATGCCAGTAACAAATTAATAAAATTAATAATCTGAGGATTTTGATAATTCTGTGATTAATAGGTTCTTGCAGAGACTTTCTTTCAGTAATTTTACATTATGTGTATGTGCAGACAACCTGCAGAATAAATAAATATGAAAATAGAATTAATATTGAAAATGAAGATCAGAAGTGAAATTTCTTTCCCTTAAAACATTGTTCTTTAGCACAGTTTTCTGTTCTACATTACAACAAAATAGAATAAAGCATTTTTTTGTTTTCAGCTAATGAGTCTCAATTTACGTTTCTCAGGTTTAATTGAGTATTTTCAAAGATTGGTGCCACATTTTTATTATTTTCAACCCTACCTACAAAATTTTGATCACTATGTTGCAAATCCATGGCCATGGCCACGGCCATTCGCCATTATTCCTTTCAGGCTAAAACAGCCCTCAACCAGTTGTTTCTGAAACTTAATGGCCTCATGGTATACACAAACAATTATACTAATGCTCTACACTGACAAAACTATTTCAATAACTGAAGCCAAGTACGGCTTCTTTCGAAGGGTCTACCATCGCTATGGCTGCAAAGTTGACCTGACTCGGAAAGAAACTCTCAGTGATGTAAGTGTGGAGAGTGATGTTGTGCCTTTCCAATTAACATGTTGAAAGTGAAACAACTAAGAAGCGTAATTTTACAACTGGTTAGTGATTTTGAAAAATAAACGAACCACAGGCACATACTATTTTGCAAATTGTGTAATGTTAAAGTAAGTGCTAAAAAGCAGCATGTTGGAAAAGAAAAGCAGTCTCAAATGTGGAAAACTGTTCTTCTAGTTTTCTAGAAGAATCAACGCTTTGTAAGAATTACTTGGACTGATGCTATGGAGGATACAACGCAACGAATTAGAGGCAGTATTGAAAACTAACCGCTCTTTGTTTTATTTAATGAAACCATGGATATCCAAAGAGTTTATGTTTCCAGTGTTATAGTTGGAATACTCAAAGCAGTTGACGCTGGGTAATTAATTTTTCTATCCTCACATTTTTTGGAGAAACCTCTGTCACTCAGCAATATGTAAATTATTTGTGAAGAGCTTGCATTTATTTTAAGTAGGTATTCGGCATAACAATATTCGCTTTTTTGTGACAGATGGTACACCTTATATGATGAAGACATCTTGAGCAATTAAGGAGTTTTACCCAAAAATGTTAAAGTTATGTGCCTTGCGCACATCCTCCACTGAACTTCAGAAGAGATAAGAAGATATTTCCAGTTATGACTGTAGTTGATAGTTTTAATGGATAAAAGGGAGCTTTAATAAAAATTTGCCAGGAACTGCTGGTAAAACAAAATTTACTGGGATCCTTGGCATACATAAAAAGAAATAGGGAATTCTTACTGAAACTATAAATAAGTGGCAAAACAAGGATAACCTATTATATCAGTTCTTGATAAAGTACAAGTACAAATGAACTATAAAAACTGTCAAGGGCATGTTGGTCAAGCTGTGTGCAGAAAATTGAACATGTTCTGAACAAAAACGTGGGTGCAAATTTTCAAAAATACTTTGCATGCATACTTTGTGCAAATTTTCAAAAATTCTGCTTGGTAAAGAATTTAATATAGTGGATTTGAAAAGAATTTTCTCCTAGTGATCTAGTGAATTTCAAATTTGCCTGTATAACATCAGGCATAGAAAGAAGCTTCTCTATGTACAAAAATGTGCTAACCAAGCTCAGACATTTCACATTTGAAAATCTGAAGAGAACAAGGGTATTTTAGTAAGATATTGTCATCAACTTACTTAGTTATATTGAGATAAATGTGGTGAAATCATACTGCTTTCAAGATGCTGAAAAATGTTGAATGTTTAATATTAAGAAAATACTAACAATTAGCTATGCATAATGTTATTTGCGTGAATTGCATTGAACACCATGTTGAATTGAATTTGCCTTATTTTACGTGGCGAGACTTGGGCCATCAGGCCCGCTCTTCCGTCTGACCACGCAAATTTCGCTACGCCCCTTTCACCAACTAGGAGAGAAAGGAGGTATTTCTTGGGCGAGAAACAGGCGATTTGAATTTAGCTCAGAGGCGTCATTTAGGCTTGAGGATCTTTTACATGCAAGTAAATCTACGAACATGGGACAGCCGGCTTTACTTCCCCTCCGAAGGAAGGCGTACGAAGGATTTTTTCGCCCTTAAAAATCCACGCCTTCGATCGGGTTTGAACCCGCCAACTTGGGTACAACAGTCCTGCAAATAAAATTTAATTCATAGTGTAATTTTCTTGTACTTTGTTAGAAATGTGTTACTAACTAAAAATAATACCAACTATTCTGAAAAATTTGCCAAAAGGTATTTATCATTAAAAATCATTATCATTTTAAGTCGTATGCACCTTAATGCAAATTTTTAGGTAAATTCTTATATATTTATGCCATTTTTTAAATTAAATTTATTGTTGATGATTTTTTGGTGTCATCAACATCTTGTATCTATAAATCACATTAACTGGATTTTCATGTGGGTCTCTAATACAGGCATGTCAGCAGGCTCTGAGGACTCGGCCAGCCAGGCGTGTAGCAGCAGTGTGCTGAGTGAGTGCAGTGATGAAGCTGTGGGCAGTGGTGGCTGTGGAGGCACTGGAGTAGGAGGGCCAGTGGTGGGTCGACGTGCAGAGAGGGAGCTACGGTCTGGGGCTGGAAGTCGCAGTAGTGGGGGTAGTGGTGCCCCTCCAGGACCACGCTCAGATGGTTCTGACTCAGATGACTCAGACTGGGAGGCGTATCAGGTACTTATTGAGTATTCAATCCTGGTGCTAGAAACTATCAAAAATTATAATTGCTCACAGAATGCAAGCCTTCTCAGTAAACTACCTGCAGTGAGGGCTTGCATTCTGTGAGCTATTATAATTTTTTATATATTTTATATAGTTCCTGACTATCTGTTTTGTTGTGACACAATGTGTTATGACACACTGTTTTGAAGCTAGCTCTGTATATATATGTTCTTCGTGTATACTATAAAACTTCCCGTATACACTTCTCAGCGGACTGAAAGGGAAAAATGTATAAGTGAGAAGAACCCAACCCTCAAATAGAAAAGTATGAGCAAAGCAAAACTCAATATTTTTAAATTGGTTGGCTCCACTCTTATACCAGCTACCGACGTTACTTTGGATTTATTTGATTTTAGTTTAAAAACAGTCACAACTGTATGTGGCATGAAAGAAAAGTACAATCTGCACATGTTTTCTTGAGTTTCAGAATCTCTTCCCAACATTTTAACTATAAATTGTTACATAATGAATTGAAATTTCAAAGGAAAGTTTCCTACTTTTGAAAATAGAACATTTTTGCTCGCGAGTTATAGAACACTTAACAACAGTATCTTTAAACAAACTGCAGATATTTTTGTTGCAAACAAAATATTAACACCACACACCGCTCGAAAGGTTTGATGTAACACATTGAAAATCAACTATCTACTTGACACCTGTTAGCGGCTGTTGTAGGCCATCGTAACAACTTAGCACGAAATAGTAATACACCAATTTAAGCATCTTCTTTTAGACACGCTGAAAACTTGCTATACTCAACACTATCACACACGGCATACAATATGTATAATTATTGACAGGAAAGTAGTGAAAAATACAAATTTCTAAGTAATTTCGCATCGCCTCGTCCACACCTCCCCCACGTCACGACCCGTCTGTAGGGAGGGCTCTCAAGTATTCCATTCTTTCTCCAGTCGTCATTATCGTCATCGTTCATTATCATTCTTTGATAACATCCAGTCTTCATTTCTTCTACCCGTTCTATTTCACATTCACGCCGCCCAGAGTACATTTTTGAAATTTTCTTCATTTTTCGGTTTTGTAATAGTAGAGAGGAAATATTATTTTAAGATAATTAAACAGTAAAACCTTGTCCTAAACGGCAATTTTCTTCGAAAAATATGCCATTTTTAATAAAATACTGGGAGAGCTCTCAAGTAATCATTTCTTTTACCAGTCATCTTTATCGTCCCCCATTGTTCATACTTTTTCTTTGATAACATCTTGTCTCTTTTCTTCTACGCTTTCTATTCCACCACCCCTCCGTATGCTGAATGTGAACTCATGTGTGCCGATCATGTGCCATGCATGCCGATCCATGTCGGAGGAAATGGCAGTTGAGGGACCTGTTTGTTTTCCAACTACTCCCTGTGCTACTTTCTGCACCTAGAGATACGTTAATCATGTACGAGTATTTTGGAGAACATTCCTTGTAGATTTCCAACACACTTGCTTTGGCCTCGGACTCTTGTAGATGGCCGGTCGGGAGCTAACCCTCGATCAATCGGCTCGAACTAGCTCTTGTACTGAACTCAAGGGTGAATGGAAGGATCCACGGCGGGGCAGCGCTATGTCATCCCCCCACTATTTCTCCGTGTCAAACTGGCACTCTGCTGCTCTGCTCTTACTAGACGCTACTGCGCACTTCAGTTGTCAGGTGTCGCCCATGGACTTCCCTGATAATACGGCGTGCATGAAAGGTGGAAAGGTAATAATACCTACAAAATTAAAAAAAACAAAAAAAAAAAAAACAAGCCAAAATCTCCACCTGACACATCACTTCCACTGAGCCCCTTAAGATATCAAGTCAGATACCGCTTCTGAACAAAAATTCTCGACCCGTCCTCTACCTCCGAGACGTATTGAGTGATCCTCCAGCCCATAGATCTCAGTCACCTTTAGCAAAGAAACGGGAAATTCCTCCAACACAGGCGACTATCTCGAGCAGCAGTCAGGATGATTCTGCTGTTGACGAGGACCACGAGAGTTCCTCTATAACTTTTCAAAAGGTGAGAAATAGCCAAAGAAGTAAACCCTTACAATGGCTCTTGTGGAATCTAAACGGCTTGGGTGCCCATTCAGAAGAATAATTTCACGCCTTAGACCATCTATAGTCTGCCTTTAGAAACCTCATATTCTCAATCATTCTCTCTCTCTCTCTCTCTCTCTCTCTCTCTCTCTCTCTCTCTCTCGCTCTCGCTCTCGCGCTCTCTCTCTCGCTCTCTCGCTCTCTCGCTCTCTCGCTCTCGCGCTCTCTCGCTCTCTCGCTCTCGCGCTCTCGCGCTCTCGTCTCTCGCCGCTCTCGCTCTCTCGTTTCGCTCTCCTTTCGCTCACTCGCTCTCTCTCGCTCTCTCTCGCTCTCTCTCGGCATCTCTTCGGCTCTCCTGCTCGCTCTCCAGGTCCGGCTCTCTCTCGCGTCTTCGCGTCTCCATCTCGGCTTTTCTGGCTCTGCTCTCTCGCGCTCCTCTGCTTCGCGCTCTCTCTCTCGCGCTGCTCTCTCTCGCGTTCCTCTCTCCGCTCTCTACTCTGCGCGCTTCTCTCTCGCGCCTCTCTCTTCGGCTCTCTTCTACCGCGCCTCTCTCTTCTCGGCGCTCTTTCTCCGCGCTTTCTCTCTGGGTCTCTCTCTGGCTCTCTCTCTCTCGCGCGCTCTCTCTCGAGGCGTCTCTCTCGTCGCGCTCTCTGCTCTCGCGCTGGCTCTCTCTCGCGCTCTCTCTCTCGCGCTTCTCTCTCTCGCGCTCTCTCTTCGGGGCTCCTCTTTCTGCGCTCTCTCTGCTCGCGGTCTCTCTCTGGCTTCTCTTGCCTCCCGTCCTCTCTTCTGCTCCCTCTCCTCTCTGGTTCTTCATCTGCTCTCTCTCTCGATTTTCTTTCGTCTTTCTCTCGGCTCTCTTCTCGGCGCTCTTCTCTCTCTCGGCTCTCTCTTCTCGGCGCTTCTCTCTTCGCGCTCTCTCTCTGGCGTGATCTCTCTCGCGCTCTCTCTTGCGTCTCTCTCTCGCGCTTCTCTCTCTCTCGCGCTCTCTTCTCGGGCTCTCTTCGCGCTCCCATCTGTCTCGCGCTCTCTCTCTCGCGCTCTTCTTGCGGCGCTCCCTTCTCTCGCGCTCTCTCTTGCTGGCTCTCTCTCTCGTCTCTCTTTCTCCGCTCTCTCTCTCTGCTGCTCTCTCTTCGGCTCGCTCCTCTCTCGCTTCTCTCTCGCGCTCCTCTGCTCTCGGTCCTCTCTTCGCGCTCTCTTCCTCGCGCTCTCTCTTTCTCGCGCTCTCTTCTCGCGCTTCTTCTCGCGCTCTCCTCTCTCGGCGCTCTCTCTTCGCGCTCCGTCTTCTCGGGCTCTCTCTTCTCGCGGTCTCTCTCTTCGGCTCTCTTCTCCTCGGGCTCTCTCTCTCCTCGCGTCCTTTCTCTCTCGGGCTCTTTCTCTCTGCCTCTCTCTTCTCGCGCTCTCTTCTCTGCGTCTCTCTCTCTGGCTGTCTTCTCTCGCGCTCTCCTTTTTTGTTCCTCTCGTCTGTTTCTCGCTCTCTCTCTCGCTCTCTTTCTCTCTTCGCTCTCTCTCTCTCTCTTCGCTCGTCTCTGTCTCTCCTCGTCGCTCTCTCTCTTCTCTTTTCCCTGCCTCTCTCCTCTTCTAGCTCTCTCATCTCGTCTCTCTCTCGTTTCTCCTCTCTTCTACTCTTTCTTCATCATCCTTTCCTCTCTTTCTTCTCTTCTTCTCTTTCTCTCTCGGTCTCTCTCTCTATATCTGTTTTCTCTCTTCTCTTTCTCTCTCTCTGCTTTCTCTCTCCATCTCTTCTCGCTTCGTCCTCGCTCTCTCATCTCGCTCTCTGCGCTCTCGCTTTCGCTTCTCTCTGCTCTCATCTCTCGCTCTCTCGCTCGCTCTCTCGCTCGCTCGGTCGTCTCGCTCGCTCTTCTGCTCGCTCGCTCTCTCAGTGCGTCTGCTCGCTCCGCTCGTCTGTCTCTGCTCGCTTCGATCGCTTCTGCGCTGTCTAGCTATTCTCGCTCTTTCGCGCCTCTCGCGCTCTCGCTCTCTCGGTCTCTTCGCTCTCATTCTCTCTTCTGCCTCTCGCTCATCGCTCGCTCTCTCTTCTTCTTCTCTCGCTTCGCTCCGTCTCTCTCTTCTTCGCTCTCTCTCTCTTCGCTCTTCGCTCTCGATCTCGCTTTCGCTCTCGCTCGGGTCTCGGCTCTTCTCGCTAATCGGCTTCTCTCGATATACGGCGCTGCTCTCGCTTCAATCTCGCTCCGCTCGTCTCTCTCGCTCTCGCTCTCTCTCGGGCTCTCGCTCCTTTCGCTCTCGTTTGTCTCTTGCTCTTCTCCTCTCGCTCTCTCTCGTTCGCTCTTCTCGCTTCTCGCTCTCTCTCGTCTCGCTTCTCTCTCGTCTCTTGCTCTCGTCTCTCTCGCTCTCGTCTCGCTTCTTCGCTTCTGTCTCTCTCGCTCTGCTCTCTTCTCGCTCTCTCTCTCGCGCTCTCTCTCGCTCTGTGTCTGCTCGCTCTCTCTCGCTCCTGCTCTACCTCTCGGCTCTTCTGTTCTCGCTCTCTCTGGCTCTTCGCTCGCTTCGCTATCTCTCGCTTCGATCGCTCTCGCTCTTCGCTTCTCTTCTCTGTTCTCGTTCTCTCGTCTCGCTCTTTCGCTCTCTTCTTCGCATCTCGTTCCGTCTCGGCTCTCGCTTCATTCGCTCTGTCTCTTCGGGCTCTCTCTCGCTCTCGCTCGCTCTCGCTTTCTCGCTCTCGCTCTCGTCACCCCCCCCCCCCCCCCCCCCCGCTCTCGCTCTCTCTCGGGTCTCCGCCTCTCTTCGTCTCGCTCTTCTCTGCTCTCGCTTCTCTCGCTCTCGCTTCTCGGTCTCGCTTTCTCGCTCTGATCTTCTCTCGTTCGTCTTCTCTCTCGTCTCTCTTTCGTCGCTTTCTTTCTTGTCGTCCTCGCTCTGCTCTCTCTCGCTTCTCTCTCTGCTCTCTCTCTTCGCTCTCTCTTCATCCGTGACTCCCTGTTCTTCTGAGGTACCGAGAATCATTCGAACGACTTTTAAACCTGCTTTCGGATGCACCTACCGCCCTTTTGTCTAACGGTGTGCAATATATACATTCCTCCTGGCCACGTCGTGTCACAACAAGAACTTGAAGATATGTTTCCTCAGTTGCCCGCCCCTTTTCTTATTGTGGGGGACTTTAATACCCGCAATCCCGCCAGGGGTGCCACAAGGACCTGCTTGAAAGGCAATATACTTGAAAATATTGACAAACAGAATACAGTTCTTCTCAATACTGGCAAAAGCACACATTTTTTCGTGGCTTCAAACACTCCCTCGTCCGCCAATCTGGCTCTCTGTAGTCCCTCTCTTTCTCTACCGTATTTGAGTGGACTGCCCTTGGCGACCTGCATAGCAGTTACTATTTCCCCAGTCTGGTCAATTTTGATTTTCCCGACCCAAACGTTGCTCGTCTCCCTCGCTAACTAATCCACCGAGCTGAGCGGGAAACACTCGCGAAAGAAATACGGATATCGGAAACATGCGCAAACGATACCGATGCCGTTCTTTATGCGGCCTCAATTGCCATCCCGAAGTCGTAGTCACCCACACCCTCCCGTGCCATGGTGGAATGCTGACCGTGCCACCGCGATCCGTGATAGGAAACGGGCATTGGCAAGTATTAGTAGGTTCCCAACCATGGATGATCCGATCAATAATAATAATAATAATAATAATAATAATAATAATAATAATAATAATAATAATAAAAGCTTGATTGACCAAATGGGAAAGTAAGGCCGCGGCTTGGAGAGCTTATATTTCATCACTCTCTTACTGTGCACTCTTGCTGTCAAGGATCCAAAAACATTCTGGATACACCACGTGTTAGAGGATATTTTTGTAAGTTTCGCAACTTGATTTATCCACTTTTTCGTTATCAGTCAATGAGTTTTCCTGCCGAAAATTCGCCGTTTTTCCCGCAGTATTATATGACTTTCTTTTCGTAAGTAGTTAGGGCGAGAAAGTTAAAAGTGGAACAGGCTGTATCAGTGGATTAATTGAAATGGCCTAACTTAGCGATTAAATATACAGAGTTTACATTTAACGGTTGTCGAAGATTCGGGTCGTGTCGCCCGAGGATTTTAGGACTCGAACACCCAGCGAAGTGCTGACTCATCTTCCGTGCTGACATACGGAACTATCACTGCGCTAACTTCCCTTAAAGATGATGCTGAAAGTGGTGTCCTTCGGCTCGAATGCATTCTTAGCTCCTCCGGAACATATTCTGTTTTACCCTTTGAAGGAAGTCTCGAGGATTTACTGAGATTTTCTCTTCAATAGAGCTCGAAGCTCTTCCTCCTAATGTGGGATTTCTGCTTTCACCTGATTTTTCATGTACCCCCAAGAAAAATAGTTACAAGTGATCAGGTCAGTAGATCTAGGATGCCGTATTCCATAACTAATTATTCGATTATCACTATAAACAGCGAGAGCCACCAGTGAGAGCAGTTGCCGAATTCTGTCGAAAGTAACCAAAGTTTTTTGTCTAGTGCCAATTATTCGTAGAATAATGTCAGTATCTGATTTATGTAAATATCAGTAGTAACGGTGGTGTTAAAAAAGTAAGTTCTTTAATTCTTGTGGAACTACGCACACCACATTCCGTCTTTGTCATGAAGTGGATCTTCGAGAAGCGGGTGAGTGTTTTCTGCTCTCCAATAGCCCTTGCCTTGGCTGATGTATCCACTCAGATGAAACCACGCTTCGTCAGAAAAAATCAGAATATGCTTTGAGACCAGGAATGAATTTGAGCCGAAGGACACCACTTTCAGCATCTTTTCACCATATTCAGCAAAGCGATAGATCTTGTATGTCAGCACGGGAGATGAGTCATCGCGGGCGAACGAGTCCTCAACTCCCTGGGCAACACAGCCCAAATCTTCGACGAACGAGAAAATGTAGACCCGGTACAGTGATTTTTTTCCCAATAGGCATACAGCCGACGAGGTTATACAGGAAGTAGCTCAGAGATGTCAGAAGCGACACTCAGTCTTCTAGCAGATGTGGATGAAGTGTTGCCTACAAAGTAAGTATGAAGTAATTTTTCAGACATTTTTTTTCATAAAAGTAGTTTTTCAGATTTATTTACAAAGTTAATGATAAAACCATGTTTGCTTATCAGAATCAAATTAGTTTCTGATTTATATTTGTATCACAATTTGTATATTATTTGTAAAAACATTACTATTTTTAACAGGTTAACTGCTGGTGAGGAAAATGCCCTTTTTCATTACGTGCAGTTAGATACATGTGAAGGAATACTTCTTGCACCACCAGCTGGACGTGAAACGAGATCTGGAGCATCTCAACTTCGAGAAATTCTATCTTCCTTCCGACAATGTTGCCATAATATTCACAGTCTCTTACAAAACACTGTTGGTTTCAAGGTATGGTGAAACTAGAATATTTAGCTCGGAACAGTTCTTAGTTTTATTTATTTATAGAAATTTTATGACTTGATAAAATGTAAAATGTGAAAATAATCATAAAAATATCTTTTATCGTAATTGTGAAATATATATTAAACATAAAATAAGAATCGAGGAACTTACTGTAAACTTAATCCTGGTTCTCTAGGATTTTTATTTCAAAGTTATATCTGAAAGTCAGTTTTGGGTAATTGGGATCTATAATTGGGATACTTGGGTAACAGGCAATATGTAAGCAACTCTGACTGTTAGTTGCGCTGTTGCCTTACATTACTACACACTTGGCTCCACCTACATGAGAGATCAATGAAATCTCAAAACATTATCGCTGGTAAGTGATGACACATCTTGATATCATGATCTAGGCTGTCCAGGTGATGCCACGTCGAAGGCTGAGGTGTTGATTAACATATCTTGGTCTCCTTCAGAGCGCAGCATCACCCGGACATCCTAGATGTTGACTCTGGCTGCGGAGGCCTAAGAGATCGTCTTGATATCATGTATTCGCCACAGCTGAACCTTTTGCCTCCGAGACTTTGTGCAAGTCAAATGAGCGATCACGTTCAACCCTGGTTGTGAGAAAGTAAGCAAATCCTTGCACGCTGATTATTTGAGACCAGGTCACAAGATGTACCTCAGCATGGGGCGAGAACTGTCAGTCACTTATACTCTGCTGGTGGTGTAATAATTAGATCTTACAATTATAATTAGAGGGCAGATTTTGATGACCTGAAACATTGCCAGAAATTATTAATAAAATGCATTAAAAATGACCTAAAAACAAAGAAAAATGAGGTGAAAAATTTGATCAAAACCATTTGAGTTGAACAACACAAGCTTTGGGTTTGTTGCTGATGTAATCCAGGCATCTTTTGTTCAAATGAACTCAGCTTGCAAACTTTTGATTTGGACTGTTCTTTAAAAGAAAAGATCTACCTTTATCTCGAAATCGGTTGAAATGGCAATGGCGCCGATAAAGGTCACAGGAACCTTAGATTACATAGTACTCACTATGGCTGACATTACAATATATAAGCGAAGAAATTGAATAGGCTACTCAGGAATTCTGTGGTGAATATTTGTTGCACCACATAAATATTGTTGAAGCAAGTCCCATTAAAACAATATTAAAATCCATGAAATCAGCAAAAATGTATTAAAAAGGACGTAAAAAGGTACAAAGTGACTTACTAGTCGAAATTGACAAAAAATTCAGGAGAAATTACCTACAAAAATGGGTCATTTTGTTTTGTCATAACATAACACGAATTTCTACACTAAACAGCATTGCTCTAAAGGGAAAAAAAAATAACATTTCATTTAAATCCGCCCCCTAATTATAATGAACATAGTAAAATTATTTTTTTTATGAAACATTCCTTTTTCATTTTAGAAAATGATGGGCCAAGAAGTTACTAAGACAATGAGTCGTTCTTTGGTTGCCATCAAGGAACACGGAGTGTTATTTGAAGTGAGCAGTTCAGATCCAGAAAACAAAAAGCAAGCACAGGCTCTAGCATATTGGGTTGTTGGGTGAGTATGTTTTAATACCCTGTAATTTTTTGTGCAGTTAATTTATAATTCAGTAACACTTCAGTAAAGTCATGCAGTTATAGTCCAGTCAATTGGTTCTCAAAAGGGCCCAATCCAGGAAAAAATTCAGGATGTTTTTTATTCTCCACGGTTCTGCATGTTTTTGAGGGTGCTGAATCTGAATTTGCCACTTCAAAAAAGTCAGCTTCACAGAGGACCTTGCAAAAAACACTAAAAATTTTGCCGTTTTTAGTTTTTTACTTATATCTTCAAAACTGTTTTAACAAAACAATTGTTATTTATAAAATTAATGTAGATAAAATTTTGTACAAAATGTGTACATTACCTTTGAATTTCTGAAAATCGGTTTAGGCGCTAGAGCGCGATAAAAAATACTTACTTTGGGTATATGGGCAAAGTGGCAAAATAGGACTTTCCAGTTATCCTCTCTCGTAGTGGCGCACTAGCTTCCCTTTACCGTGCTTGAAAACAGCAATAGTAAACAATTAATTAGCATTGTTGAATGATTAACACCCCAATACTCATGGGGTCAATAGGGTCGCGATTGCCTTGGGAACCAAAAGACTAAATATATAACAAAATTATTACAATACATTCTTAAAAAATAAATAAATTAAATAAATACATTGATAAATAAATAAATAATAAATAAATAAAATTTTTTAAAAAAGTAAGAAAAAAACACAGATATTTTTTTCAAAGATGTTTGGAAATGCACAATTCAGGTTCAAAAAGAAATAGAGTATCACTATAGAATAAAACAAGGGTAAGGAGTCAGCGGACAACACAGATTATATCCAGTTGCCAATGCATAGGTTTTTATATGATATTTTTGTCAAGGATCTGTGTATCATGTGCAAGAATCTGAATTCTCTCTTTCACTGTCATTGTCTTGGGAATTATACAGTAATTCGCTGTCGGAGATTTGCAGAATGATCTGTGTATCACGTGCAAGAATCTGAATTCTCTCTTTCATTGTCATTGTCTTGGGAATTATACAGTATATCACTGTCGGAGATTTGCAGAAGTAGTCTAAGTTCGCATGACCACATAATGTGTTGGTAACAATACTATCTTTAGAATTTCAGCTCGAGGAGATGAGAAAAGATGAGCAGGGAAAGAGGAAGCAGAAAACATTTTGTGTAAAAACCGATGGTACCAAATCTCAGAAAATATCATTCTCCCTTGGATCAGGTGTCTTTCTCATTTACATTACATATCTGGTAGAGCCAGATTATATGCACATATGCCAATGTGCTCACTTTACGGTAAAGTATTGAATATGAATACGATTTGTCATTGTGTTCTCCTTATACATTACATATTTATCGGCAAATTACTTTCCCAAGAATGTTGACACTTCTTTCCACATCAGCGATTGGTTAATGAGATAAATAATATTCGTAATTCAAAAAACAAAAATATCATATAAAAACCTATGCATTGGCAACTGGACGCCGCCACCGCCGGAGCCACGGCCGTACCGCCGCCCGCCGTGGAAGGGGGTGGGGTCTGGAGGGGTAGGTTTCGCCGACCCTCCGGCGACGACGAACAAAGTGACCGGAGCAGGTAGAACGCTGCGGCCGCGGCGCAGTGGGAAGGCTCCCATTTAAAGCTGTGTTCTGCTAGAGGTGGCGCGTGGCCCCTTCTCGGCTTCGCGTAGCTGAGTTCGGCGTCGGCTGCCGCAGCAGCCGCCACCCGCTGCACGTGGGAAGGCCTCCATTCAAACCAATGCTCTGCTGCGCGCCGCGCTGCTGCGCGGGGTGCTGCGGCCGCGCCGTGGGAAGGGGCCCTAACGGTTCAATGTGCCAGCCTTAGAGCGTCGCGAAATCAACACGTTTTTATTCCCAGAGCTGGCGTATCGTTACAGTATATAAATTAAATTCCATATTTTTTGAGATTACGCAGGTCTCTATAAAGTTAGTCAAGCTACACCTTGCCGAATAATTTCTGAAATTTCAGACTGGGACTTAACATCAAGAATTTTGTACAGTTTCATCAGAATTTGGAGTGATAAAATGAGAAAATGCTCACCCTTATAAGCTGCATAAAATTGCGTTTAGTGTAAATCAACACACAAGTCACCACAAAAATCACACGATTAGAGTTAACGGCCAACGAAACGACAGAAACCTCTGTTAAACACTGGGTCAGCTTACAGAAATGCAACGTTGCAACATTTCCGTTAACTTAAGGAACACTCATTTCTGCTCCCATAAGAAACCCATGAAATACAAGCCCCCCTTGAGGTGGTTAAAACGAAATAAGTGTCATGTTTAACATGCCTTTTTTATTGTATTAATCGAAATATGAGAGGTTCTTCTACGCTCTGGTAGAGTTTGAATCGATTTTACCGTCTAGTTTTCGCGCATCGAGACCGTAAAGTTTGCTGCTTTAACATAGGCTCTTGTGGTGACCTGACTGATCTGACCTTCAATTTTAAAATTGTGATAAAATTTACTGTTTAACATGTTTTAAAACTCTTCTTTTGGTAGCTAGCATCTCGAAGAATCAATATGCGCAATTTGAAAGAAATCTATCGTTTCAAATAGGAGAATTTTGCAAAATTATAAGCCTAAATCAGTCCAAAGGGAGGTTCGTGCGCTTCCTAGAGGGTCGGAACTGTGACGCGCATCTCGGCAACACCGCGAGCGCAACGCGCTTCATTCAAATCGAGTGACAAGACCTTGCTGGAGTTCGTACATTCCTCTGGATCTTCTGGGAGCAATTAAAATATTCTCACTCCTACAGAACATTGCATTTCTTAGTAACCAGATATTCAGATAAGCTAGAATTTGAGGGATATAATTAGTGCGAACTGAATGAAAATCGTAATTCAATTAATATTCCCAATGACTTACTTTGATATCTCTCTATGAGAATATGGGTGATCTTGAGAGTTTATAGAATTTTTTAAACATTCAGTACAGTACTATTTTGTATTGTGCCGTATGTCATTTTTTGTTCCTGAACAATGATTATTTATTAAATTATTCGAAAATTATTCATATTCTCTTTTTTATTATGGAGACACACAGGTGATTGTCATTTCCTTTTGCACCATGGTTGCTTACACAGGACTCAAAGCAGCAATCTTTAGCATAGATCAACGCCTCAATCTGTAGCACTACTAATGGACGTTCAATTCAGAAAGTAATAGACTTTTTAGTGGCTTCAGATGTGTTGCAAATGATAAAATACTCTTTTCTGGTGTTAATAGCGACCATTCAAGGTATAGGTGCATTCAGAGCTGGATTTTCCCCTAGCAGAATTAGGCTTGGAACTCCCATCCCCATGCCTGGATATTTTAAAATAAAAATTAAAAACATCATAAAATGTTTTTATCTTAATAATCATTAATCAAATAGTTTACTGAACTATAATGTTTGATTTTAAAAATAAATTGAATGGAACAATAAGAAACCAGACATGTATATGAAAAATTTAAAAAGCAATTTCTATTTTGTAAACAATTTGTTAATTTACATCTGTATTGGAACAATGATTTATTCTGTCATAATTAGTGGTTTTTTAGATTTATTCATAATTAGTTTTTTAGTTTTAAAGATTTTTCTGAAGGAGTGCCCAGTATAGTTATGTGCTTGAAGGCCTAAGGGCAAATTTAATAATTACATTTGTAATTAAGAATTAAATTTTATTGAAATTGTAAGATGAATGATATATTTAGCATTTGGTAATTTTAATATTTTAAGAGAAATCCCCTTTTCTCTTCAGCACTATATTGTATCTAATTATTTGCATTTCCTGAACAGTAGTAATGCATTTTGAATAGTTCTCATGTCTTATTATTAAAACATTTAAACCTCTATTCATTTTGAGTGCAGCATAAAGACACAATTACAAAAGATAATGCTCCTTGGAAATCTCTTTTGAAGATTTTATCTCCAAGAAAACTCCACATTTTCAACCAAACATTTGTGAATAATGTGCAATCAAAATGTTATTTGTGCACATGACTTCATTGGCCATTTCTAATTGGTCGAGTTGGGGCACAAGAATTTGTTACAATTCCTCAAGTATTTATTATATTCAATATTTATTGTCTCTGCCATGTAGTTCATGGTAACAATTGTATAGTTAACACAATTTAAACATCAGAGAGGGTTATATCAGTGTTGCGCTCAGCATTTCAATTATTCTAAATTACATAGTTTTTTAATACACTATAAATAAACATGTGTAAATAGACTTGGATTTTTATTAAATAATGTTGAGTAATAGATATTTTTATATTTAATTTATGGGGTAAGGGAGGAGTGATTTCATTAGTTTTGCTTTGGATGACCAACTGAAGCTAAGCAACTGATTGCTAGACACACACCTGCATTTATATCTCATAGTTGGTCTAAGTAACTAGTTAAGGAACAAAGGGTGGCAGATAAGCTTTTTTTCTATTAATTTTAAGATATAAAATGGGTTATTATATTATATAATCACCTATTAAGAACATTTAAATGCATCCAGGTCTTTCATTTAAAGCAAAAATCATGAAATTTTGTTGTGTAGAATTCTCAAACTTCTTTCTAAACGAAAACCAATAGTATTAATAAAACACATCCAATGTTTTTATGACAGTTCTTTATTATCAACAATTACATGATTGTGGATATATTGCTGCAATTGCTGTTAATAACGGGCTGTCATAAAAACACTGGATATGCTTTATTGATTTAAAAATATATTGACTATCTGGAAGAAGTCTTCTGGTTTATCTTTAAGAAAACCCTCAGTGTTTTAAGTATATACATTTTTTCATGCAGTGCTACAAAATTTATACACAAGTCATGGGACTAAGGACTGGACTAACTCATTTTCTAAAGTTTATAGTACAGAAGTCATTTTCTAAGGTTTATAGTACAGAATAAATGGTAATATGTGCATTTTTTTATTTTATTGAAAGTTTGTTCATCTGCATCTACCCATGTCTATTCAGAAAGTCACTTAAGTAAAAGAAAAAATATTCCAAAACTGTATTACATTCTTTATGTATTCTTAAAAATTAAGCAAAAATGAATTCTTAAAAATTCAAAGTATTTTTTAAATTGTTGTTACTGATAATATGCTCATCTTGTTTTACTTTTTTTTGTTGTTTACTTTTCTTAAAAAATAGAATCACTTACATAACATTTCTTTTCCTTTCAGACGCTTATTTTTTGCCCCGCAACCTCGAGAAGTGTATGTTTGCTATCTAGATTCAGCACCTCAGAACATGGTGGAAATTGCCTTCCGATTGGGTCTAAGTGCTGCAGGTTGACTCACCAAAAACGAATTAGAAAGATGTTTAAGTAACATTAATTTAATGTTCATGGTAATTTCTTTATAAATATTTACTGTGCATATAAATATTTACTGATATTTACTGTACCCAGGGAAAATCAGGGGACAGGGGCAGTGGAGGGCCACTCATTTCAATCAAAATTCTTCTTCCTCTCCCAATTCATAACTTATAGCATTAGCATAACTTGTAGAAATAACTTGTAGCATTAAATTTGGATTAGAGACAAATACATTTTTTTAATGAAAAACAAATTGGTGCCTCAATTAAAGTTGGGGGCCTGGGCAAGTTGCTCCCTTTGCCCTCTTTCTATTTGCTCCTGTTGTGATGAGATTGCATTTATTATAAAGTATTTAATTTTACATTTGATGCTTATCATTTTTACCCTAAAGTCTTTTGTATTTGACAAGGTATTTCTCAAGCTCTCTGTGACAATATTTGTATTTACTTTATTAATGAAGTTTGATTGGTTCAAGTTTCAAACAGGGATAAATTACCAAAATGAGATGTGATAGCTTTATGTTATATGGTCTCTTTTTATGTTTTTCTTTGTATTTATGTAATCTCTTGCCTATCATATTTCTAAATAGTGATTTAAAATTTTGTGAAAATCACCAGTTCCCACCATATCTTCCACCAATTATGAAGTTTCTTGATTCTACTTGAAGCAAAGGTAAATACTAAAGGGAGAGAAAATTTAAATAGAAGACAAGAATTGAGTGGCCATAATTACCTAAATTACCAACGTCCCCATTGACTTTAAAGACAAGAAAGTGTTTGCTACAGATCTGATGAAAAACTCTGCAGGGCAATTGGAATGTTCATTACAGAACTGCTAGAGATACAGGGATCTTGGTAGAGAGAAACTCTGGTATGTTGATTGGGTGCAAATGATAGGTATGAAATCTAGTAAAATCATAGAATTATTGTTATTTCACAGTGATTTAAATATATGACATGACATTTTAACAACCCTCAGAATCAAATATGGTTTCTCCTGAGACAGTACTGCCACGTAGGATATTGCTCACATATAGTGCAGTTATAGTATGGGCATAGTCCATGAAACTGCGGTCTCACTGTCAGATCAGTTGTACTGAAATACTTTTTAATCTGAAATTTTGAACTTCGGACCATTCTTTATTGCAGTCTTCTTAAAGAATTGAAGAAATTAATTATTATTTCTTTTATCATTTTTTGACAGGTCTCTTCACATGAAACTTTTTGTACACTATGTCATTCCATTCTGTATAATGTTGAACTTTCTCTTCTTTCCTTGTAATCTTTTCTGTGATGTAGAAAACCCTTGCTTATCACAGGGATGGAAGCTATTCTTCTCAAAGGAAACAACTGCCTACCAGGTTACAATAGAAGCCCAAGCAGTCGGGTTCAAATCTCTCTTTGAATCCAGCAAATTTTCCAAGTTTCTTCTTTTGGTGCACAAAGGTGCAGTAATAGAAACAATGGCACTTATAACTTAATTTCATTAAAAATTGGAGGTGGGGCCCCTCTTGGATTCCATAATTCAATGAAGGAGTTTATTGTACAATGGATTTTTAACATACATAATGGATATGTTGAAATGCGTTTGTAGTATCAGTTATGTATGTTGTCAGTCAGCTGTATATCAGTTAGAATGTATAAGTTTTTATTGAGACATTTAGAAATATGCACTTCAAATAAGAACCATCATTGTAACATTTCTGAACTGGAACTTTTTATTCTTTTGTTAATTGGTACTAGGGTTGCCAGATGTTCATTATTCAAGTGAACTGTTCACTATTTCTTTTTTTAGATTCACTAATTAAAGAATGAAAATAGTGAACATTAAAAAAATCTTATCAAACAATGAAAACAAAAACATACGTGTATGAGTGAACAACTGTTAGTAGAGATTTTACTGTTTATTATGACAAGTTTTTAGTCTCAATTAGAGCTGGTTTCCTCTGATGCCAGCCCTGGCTATTGCACAGATCCATGCAGTTGTCATCTTACTTTGGTAACTATTCATAATTTGCTTTTGTTCAAGGCACAGCACTGCAAACGTAAGCTAAAAGTGTTTTTCATAAATGCCATTCCTGCAATTACTACTTAAATAAACTCCTGATGAGTGCTGGCCCTATTGCACACAGATTATTTTATTTGAACTATGTATAAAAGATTTTTAAACATGAGCAAAGCTCAACTTCACCCTAGGCTGTGTTTAACATAATAAAGAAAATGTATCATTACTCAATGATTCCCCCCCCATGGTTCACTTTTTTCTCAAAACATTTCTGGCTACCCCAATTGGTACAGTAGACCTTGCTAATCTGAACCCATCAAATCCGACCAAAATTTGGGATGGAGGAAAATATACAAAATAAATAAAATGCACATTTGTAGTGTAAAGAATGCATTTTGTAATTACTGTAGAATTGAACAACTTGTCAAAACAAGTTGTCGAAATAAAACGATTATTGCACTGGTAATTACGGTGTGTATCCCATGTTTATATAGCAGTAATTTTCACCTAGAGGAACTTGCAAAACTAAAATCGATAATCTTCTTTTCCTGTAAGGAACTGTGCAAAAATGAGAAATTATTTTCTATGATTAACTAAAAGAAAGTTGTCCTTTCTTCTTTAAAATATTTTTATGAAATCATCTTAAAATTTTATATAATACTCAATTTACTTGTTTAAACAAATAATTAACAGTTCTGCTGGATATTTGTATTATTGAAGTAAATATTCAAGAAAATGTCCGCTGTATTAGAGTTGGTCTTCAAAATTAATTTATGAATTATTTTTGGGGAAATCTGTTGAAACTGGAACTGGTTAGGTCAATTCCCAGTTTAAAACAACTCCCTCAGGGAGAAATTAAACAGCAAAATCTCAGTATAAAGTACATCATAAAATAATTTCATTTATACTTTATTCACAAAACACAATTTTAACTAATTTATTTGAAATAGTTTACCCAACACAAAAAATTAATAAAATGTGATGGTGATAAAACTGATGATAATGGTGCTTGTGGCAGAGAGCGAAGTCACTTGCCTTTCACCAAGGAGGTCCGGGTTTGATTCCCGGACAATCTCATGTGAAATTTGTTCCGACAAAGCAACTTTGCCTCCTTCCAAGGGGCTAGTCAAACCAGCAGGAACCCTGTCCTAAACCCTATTCTTATTGTAATTACGTTTGAATTCTGGCCGCTGTGTAGTGAAGCAGTGGCATGTAGTGTGTACGTGTAGACGCTACCTGACTGTTCTCTTGACAACTGACATGACAGATATAATGAATGTTAATGGGAAAGAAAAAATCTTTGATGGAAGTTTGTTTTGTCTTTTTGAGCATCTTGCTTTCCACAAACTGTTCTACCTCAAATAAGGATTTGAGAACTGTCTGAGGAACATTTATTTTTTTCTGAACATATACTTTCAGCTTCTCAAAACACTTCACTGCCTCTGTTGAAAATACTCAATATTTTTTCTTTTAGTTCTTCATCCTCTTCATTATTTCTTTGTGATGTAGACAAAGATTCAACAATGTCAGTCACTGTGAGGCAGTAACTAGTTTCAGGCCCAGTATCAGTACTGACAATCAACAAATGTTACAGAGGATGGAAGTTCTTAGTCCTTTTCAGTTTGTTCCCACACCTCGCAAAGATCTTCACAAGTGGCAAACCTCTGGCGAATCACTGTCTTGAAAATCTAAAATTCCTGACTTCTCCAATAGTTGGCAGTTGTTGTTGCTTTCATATTCCACCAACCCGCTGCTGATATTTGTATTCCTTGCAGGATGTTGATTTTGGTTGAAACTTTCAATCTGAGGTTGATTAGAATCCACTGAAGTATACTTTTGCATTATGAATATTTCCCTGGCTTCAGTTCAGAAGTGCAGTTGGGAGGGAGGAATTCAATATTGATATTTTCCAACCTGTAGTTTAGTTTATGAGCAGAGTAATTATATACCAACAACAGGATGTTTCTTTTCTGTTTTCCAATATCTTTTGACCAACTCAAGAAAGCAGTCTGCAAAAAGTTCTTTGGTCATCCATGCTTTCTTGTAGGCTGTACTGGCAGAGATGCTACACCTTTGCAACATCTACTTTGTCCTACGACCAAAAACTTCAATTTTTCATTACAAGTGGCATTACAACAAAATAATACTGTTTATCTTTCTTTTGGCTGTTTTCCACCTACACATTTCTCCCCCTTGTAAGAAATTATGTAATCGGAAATTGATAAAAAAGTAGCAATCACAAGTAGGCTAGAGTTAGTACCTTAAATAATAAAAATATCCTTCATATTCATCAGGCTATGATTACTACACAAGAAATCAATGTTACTAACAGCTTATGGGTTAAAAAAAATAAAAACAATACTTACATTGAAAACTAATGAAACTGTACACCACGTCTTGCTTTCCGGAATGCGGAGGATGCTAAAACTTCACTAACTCAACAGCTCGAACTTGCACACATTCTATGCTGAGAAACCTGACATTACACGCTCTCCTGGACCATAGCACTACGTAGGTACTTTTTTAAACGTGTTAACTTTGAAAATAATTGCTCGGCGGCTGATACCGTTACATGAAGAGTCGACTGGTGTTACAACAGCTCATACTTTCTCGCGATATTGGAAACAGCTACGACATATTGAAAAATTGCATTTTCTGCGCTACTTACGCCTCAGCTATTACTTTGAAAACGTCCAATTTAACCAAGAAGTGAGCTAGTACTATTGTCAGCGCAGCGCTGTCAAAACTATGTGACTTTGCTAAGCGAATAATGTCAATTCTTGGCAGAAACGCTTATTTTCATCTGTATTCAGATTTCAACTTGTTTATCGGTTTCATCATACACAGTACTACATCACAGTACATCATACACACATAACTAATACTAATAAACTAATTAAATGACTAATATTCTAAGGTTTGTAATATTCAGTTAATTTTTACCACCTATATATTGACACTATTTATTGGTAATTAATATGTTTTAAAATCACAAAACCTTCAGAAGCTTTAGAAGCTTTTCTAGCTT